TCTGCCACTTACTCCCCGTAAGCCCAGGTAAGTCATTTTACTTTTCTCAGCCTCAGTTTTCTCATTTCTAAAAAGGGGGAAGATACCCATCTCACGAAAGTGTTATGAGAATCATGAAAAAAGTGCCTATATTCACCCTCTATATGTGTTCTAAGCACCTTGCACACATCAACTCCTTTAATACTCATGTTCACTCGGGGTAGATTCTATTATTATTTCCATTTTACACAAAGAGATTAACAAGTGAAGAGCAAAAGAGGCGGGGGTGTGTTCTCTAGGGGACACAAGAAGGCCTGCCAAGAACGATGGTGAGGGTGAGTTCACGCCTGTGGGGTGTCCGGGCATAGGTGGAGGGAGATGGGTGGAAGGGGAGGTAGGTAGAAGCAGGCACTAGGCAGGGTGTGGCCCCTGAATGTTCCCAGGCCTTTCCAGGCTTTAGGCCTGAGATACAGAGGGGAGTGGGGAGTGAGAGTGAGGATGGTTCCAGGCTTCAGTGAATTCCAAGATCAATGTATTTGCTTGCAGTGAACTTGACCTGGGAGGAGAGGAGCCACCCCAAGGCAGTTGCAGATGTCTCTGAAGAGTGAAAATGAGGAAATGTGTCCAGAGGGTTTTATTCACCCCCATCCCTTCTAAAGGCAAGGACTAGAAGTTATTTTACTATAACTCCAGCCTGGGGAGAAATCATAACTCTTTTGGCATAATGAGTGTGGGAGCTGCCCTAACAAGAAGTCTTCTTTTCCCTGAAACAGATCCCATTGTTTGTAGATACACTTAGGACACTCAGAAGCAGGCCAGCTGGAGGTCTACTTCCCAGTCCCTGGCACTAATCCTCCTCTCAGGATCGGTACTGCCCCTTCTCCCCTCCCAAATGCAGTAACCTGGCCAGAAAAACAGACAGGGACTGATAAGACACACCAGGTGCTGCTCAGGAGCAGATGGGATCTCAGGAGAGGAAGACAAGGGGTTAAAAGGAAGAGGGCCTGGGGACATGGCCAAGTTTAGGCTCAAGAATTCTGGACCTGTAGCTGGGTGCAATGGCAACTACCTGTAATCCCAGCTATTTGGGATTGCTTGAGGCCAGTAGCCTGAGACCAACCTGGGTGAGACCCTGTCTCAATAACAACAACAAAATAATAATAACAATAATAATAATTCTGGACCAAAAAGGGCTTGGAAGCAACTGGTTAGTCTAGGAAAGCTGTGTCTGACCCCTGTACTTTTGGGGTTCAGCACTATAGCCGCTAGCCACAGGTGGCTTTGAGCACCTGAAATGGGATTTTTCCTGAGATGTGCTCTAAGTATAAAATGCACACCAGATTTCAAAAACTTGGTATGAGCCAACAGAATGTAAAATATCTCATTATTAATATTTTATATTGATTACATATTGAAGTTATAGTTAGGATAATATTAGGTTAAATAATTATTATTAAAATCCCTTTTACCTGTTTTTTGAAACGTTTTTCCTGCTTAAACTAGAAACTAAAATTACAAACATGGCTCTCATTATATTTTTATTGTGCAGCACGGCTCAGCCCTTTCGGTGCCCAGGTGGTTACAGGCTGAGGGGAAAGCATTTTATTGTAGACTCTACCCCCTCCCCCGCCCTTCTGAGTGGGGTCACAGGAATTCCAGAACCCCTGGAGCATGGCCTTGACCCACAGGGAGAGAACAGTGGGAGAGAAACAGGGAATGAGTGAGGGAAATGAGGCCAAAAATGGTGACTCTGGTTCTTGGGTCTATCTGGTTGGTTAATTGCAGAATCCAAAAGGACTATTCTAGAATGGGATGAGGGAAATGCAGCAGCTCACAGTCAGGTGAAAGTGGGTGAAGCTGAGACATCTTAAATGAGCATCTATAGGAAGTGATCAGAAAGCACTGCCATACAGTCTGGGGGTCCTCAGTAGGGAAGAAGCCTCTCTACTGGAAGGCAGGGTCTGGGGAGAGCCAGGAGGCTGGAATCAGAGGGAAAGAAGAGAAGAGGGACTCGTATTTGTTCAAGAGCCCCTTTTATTCATTTAAGCCTCAGAAGATAATCATGTTTGGTGTTACTGCCCCCAATTGTGGATGAGGAAAACTGAGGCTTAGATAGCCCAAGTAGCTTGTCCCAGGTCAAGAGCTGCTACCTCCCAGAAGATGAGCTGTTTGCTGGGCTCTGCTGCTGGCTAACTGTGGCTTTAGAAACCGTGCGGAACTGTTCTGAACCTGTCTCCACCTCAACAGGCTATTGTGAAGACCAGATGAGATGAATCATGGAAAATGCTTCAGAAATGGGAACTGTAATGCCTTCGTGTCAGCTCGCAAAAGATGCTCGCCATGCTGACGGACTGTTCCCAAATGTAGATCTCTAGCCTGGCCATCTCCACTTGGATCTTTAACAGGCGTCTTCTTAAACTCAATGCACCCAGAATTAAACCCTTGATATTCACCTCCAAACCTGCTCCACATTCTAAGTTGCCAAATCCATAGAAATATGTTTGACTCTTTTTTTTTTTTTTTTGAGACGGAGTTTCGCTCTTGTTACCCAGGCTGGAGTGCAATGGCGCAATCTCGGCTCACCGCAACCTCTTCCTCCTGGGTTCAAGCAATTCTCCTGCCTCAACCTCCCGAGTAGCTGGGACTACAGGCGTGCGGCACCATGCCCAGCTAATTTTTTGTATTTTTAGTAGAGACGGGGTTTCACCATGTTGACCAGGAAAGTCTCGATATCTTGACCTTGTGATCCACCCGCCTCGGCCTCCCAAAGTGCTGGGATTACAGGTGTGAGACACCACGCCTGGCTGACTCTTTTTTTAAGTACACCTCTATATCTAAGCCACCAGCAAATCTTATTGGCTCCTACTTTCAAAATATATCCAGAATCCAAGTACCACTACCACCGTGATCTGAGCCACCACCCACTCTCCTCTGGCCCTCTGGCCAAGCCTCCCAATTCGTCTTCCTGCTCCCACCCTTGCCCCCATACAGTCAATATTCCACTTGGCAGCCAGAGTAACCTTTTAAAAAATAAGTCTGATCACAAGCCTCCTTAAACAATCCAGTGGCCCCCACTGCACTCAGAGTAACAGCCAAAGACATTGTGTCAGCCCACAGGCCTGCAGAATCTGACCTCTCACCTCCTCCCCTCCCTCCCCTCCTGCCCTCACTCAGAGTCAGGCCCCACCCTTGCTGCCTCTCACTATGGCAGCACCTGCCTGCCTCAGGACCTTTGCACTTGCTGCTCTTGCTTCCTGGGCTGCTCTGCCCCCAGATGCCTGTATGGCTTGGCTTGAGCTTTCACCTCCTTCACCACCAACTCCCGTCCCAGGAGTCCCTAGCCTCTGTCTGCTTTATTTTCCTTCAGAAAACTTGCAACTGCCAATATATTATGTAACTTACTTGTTTAACTCCTCTGAAATTCCTCTACTCCCTCAAAATATTTAAGAATTTTGTCTTTGTCTCTGATTTTTAGAACAATGTCTAGAATACAGTAGGCTTTTAGAAAATGCTCAGTGAATGAATGAATGAACATGGAATGATTGACTGGGTCACCTCACCTCCACCCCTACTCCATACCTGCTAGGGGGTAAAAGAAGACACTGCAGTCCCAGGAAGGGGGTGGGCTACAGTGGAGACTCAGCTCTTTGTTGCTTAAACCCAGAGGCCTTTTCCTCTCATTCTTTATCATGAAAACACATCTCTCCCCTTCCAGCACAGTCTGTTCAAAATCAGTAAAATAGAGCCTGTCTCTGGCTCTCTGTAAAAGCCCCATGGCTTTGCCATGTCTCCCTCGAGGCAGGACAGGTCTGTACCCTTGGTTGAGGCTGGAGATTCGGCAGACCAGGGATGTGTTCCTGTTTCAGGTGGAGCAGGGAGCAGAGGTGTCAGCCCTCTGGCAGGGGCCGTCGGAGCTGCTGTGTCTACACGGGAGGGCTCTGGAGAGGACGGCTTGGGAAAGGCAGCAGAGGCGGCTGCTCACAGTCCTCACAGGACCGCTCAGGGAGAGAGGTGCAGGCAGGTGGGACAGGGGGACGATGAGGTTATCTCCTTCAGACAGGTAAGGAGGCAATAAACTGGGACCATCTGTGCCGTTATTAGACATTCTATGCAGAGCTAAGCTCCCAGAACAAAGAAAACAGCCCTTCAGAGGAAGTGAGGGAGAAAGAGAGAAGGAGAGAGAGAGAAAAGCAAACCACAAACACAACAGCTAGTGATCTCCTCACACACATACACCCCTCATCTAATCATAAAGACATATTCCAGGCAGGTTCCAGAGCTGTCCTTGGGAGGGGTGTTTGAAATATATACGTATCCCTGATACATCCCTGAAATGTTAACTGTCAGATCTCCCAGGAAATGGCTCTGCCTAAACAGACTTTCCTGGACTCTCATTTCATGAATGCTGAAAACAGAATTTTTATGAGACAAAGCCAAACAGAACCCGTGACAATTGTTCTTGAAATCACTTTCCATTCTCTTCCCCAGTATTCTCCCTCCCCCACACCATCGTCCCCACACCAGCCACACCTCCCTTGCTCCCCAGCTCCCCAGAGACCACCCATGACTCTTCTGGAGGCTCAACTGTTGTTGTTTTTGTTACGTAGTGGTGCCAGGCACATAAGGAGAGGCAAGTAAATGTGGGGACAGACCCAACCTTGGGGATAGTGACAAAAGATAGACATTAGAACCCAAAGAGCTGTGATCGGAAGGGCTAGTGCCTTCAGGGCTGGTGAGCTTGTCACTCAACCCTTCTGTCCTCAGTCTTCTCATCTGCATGATGGAATAATGGCAATCCCTGCCCATGGCTCTGGTGAGGATTTGAGGAGGTAATGGATGTAAAATAGGTAGCATGTCATTAGGTCCTTCAGGAGGGCTTTGGGGCCCCTTTTCTTGCTGAATCTGGAGGCAACCTCAGAAGGCTTCCCCGCCAGCCTCTTGTACCTGGGCTGCATTGCCCTAGGATCACCACTATTCTCGTCTTTAAAATGTTTTATTTCTCCCAACTTCTTGACAAAAAAAAAAAAAAAAAAAAAAAAGGTGGGCTTGAATTAGGTAAGAAAGGAGAGAGAAGGGAATGAAATGAAGGAGTTTGGTGCAGTTGACAGGGAAGAAAGGGACAGAAAACAGACATGTATTAAGAGGTTTCTCTGTGTGAGACACTGAGTGAGATACTTTATGAAATTTCACCCAACTCACCCAACCTCCCTGCAGGAGGCAGGTACTCTCAGCCTGTATTATAGAAGGGAAGCCAAGGCTCAGAGTTGAAATAGCTTGCCTAGAATTATGGTGCTGGGACTGAATCCAGATGTATCTCCTCTTGGCCCTTCTCTCATATCTGCACAGGAAGGTTGACACATTTGGGTTCTAGTCCCTCCTCTTCCACTGATTTGCTGTGTAACCTCAGGCGAATTGTCTCATGTCTCTGGGCTTTTGTCCTCTCACCTGTACAATGAGCAGTATGGACCAGAGGACCCCAGTAATAGGGCTTAATCATGAGGCAGATTGTGTTATTGTCAAGATATTTGAAGAAAAATTATACGTCCTGCCCTACTGACAGCAGGCTTGCCTGTGTGACTTGCTTTAGCTAATACAATGTGAACAGAAGTGACATGGACTTGGTTCAAGCAGAAGCTTGAGCATCCATCCCATTGGCTCTTCCTCCATCAGATGGGGACTTCTCGGTTCTGGGATGAAGAGGATGTGGAACAGGCTTTGCCCACCTGCCGTGCACATGAATATGAGCAAGAAATAGCTCTTGGCTATTGTAAGCCACTAAGATTTAGGGGCTTTTGTTACCATTGCTGAACTTACTTAGGTTGACTGGGACAATGATTTTGTGAGAAAAGGGGAAAGAGGAAAGGGAGGATAATGCCCCAAGAAATGAACCACCTGGGAAGAAAATGGCTCACTGAGCTACCTGAATATCTGAAGTCCTGTCAAATCTTCCAAACAGGGCGTCCAAAGAATGCAGGCAGTTTGAGAGCACAGGGGCAGTGGGGGGAACTCAGAGGGTAGTGGTGGTGGTGAGGAGCACTAACATCTGAGGACAAGGGAGCACTGTGGCAAGAAGTTTGGGAGTCAGCAGATCACGCGTGAGAAGGGTACAGAGAGAAATACGGTATATAAGTACTAAGGAAGATTTTGCAAGATGTTTCTTTTGTTTCTAACAGAAAACAATGTTTGTAGGGTAGGAGAGACTCTTAAAGCTCATTTAGGACAGTACTTTTCATTGACGGGTGAGAGAATTGAGGATCTGAGAAGGTAGACACCTGACTGAATTGAAGGTCGCACTGCAAGGTAGCGTCAGGGTTGGGACTTGGGCCCAGGCTTAAGGAAGGCTAATGTTGCACCTTTCTGTTTCTCTTTAGTGAGAAGAGTAAAACCTTTTTGGAAGAATGAGCAGGTTGTTTGGTTTGAAGGACAGCAAGCAAGGTGGGCACTGGGGCCTTCTGGGAAAGAAAGCTGGCGAAGTTCCTCAAGTGATGGGAAAACAGGCGAGGGAGACAAGGACCCGGTAATGGTCGGCAAGTGAGCCTGAGGGTTTAGCCAGAGGCGGGGACTTCCTGGTAAGGGAAAGGAGGCTACCAATACACAGCAATTCAGCGTCTTCTGCTGAGGCCTCACGTGCACAGGCTTTATGTTTCCCACGTGCTGTACTTTATCTCATACCAGTCCTATGATGCAGCTTTCTAAGTCCCATTTAACCTGTGAGTCAATAGAGGATGAGGAAAGTTAAACAATTTGCCAAGATCTCACGGTTTATCAGTGACAGAGGTGGGATTTGAACCACGTCAGTGTGACTCCGAAGTTCCTGCTTAGGGGAGGAGGCAGAGAGCAGGTGGAAGCAGAGGAAATTGTTGCTTAGGGCCAGGCCTCCTAGGCCTCTGTCGCCCTGACTCATTGTGGTTGCCAGAGCTTTCTGCCAGCAGTTTTCCAAGCGAGGGCCCCTGGAGCTCACAAGCCCATGGCCAGGCCTGCTTGGGGACCCTTTGTCACATTAGCTTGCATTGCCAACTCTCCCCAGTGGTGTCCTCCCCACTTGTATCAGCCAAGGAATGAGTCAAGGTTGCCAGTATGTTCTTGGTTGCCTGGATTTCTGCATCTCCTGGGCCACCTTCTCGTGACGAACCCCAGCCTGCAGATCGCTGGTCCAGGAGTTCTAGAGGGAGGGCCTGGGCAGAGGGAGGGCTCCACAGGACCTGGCTGTGGCCCAAATACACGTTTGTGGCTGGGCATTTCCTCCCAACTAATAGACAAACAATCATTATTTTTCTCTGGCCAAATGGAAGCTGGCCTCAGAGCGCTCAGCACAAGAGCAATAATAGGGGCTTATCGACAGATAGGGAGGGCTTAATAGGTCACAGGCTGATGAGGATCTAGATGGATGAAGGCTGCGCTATGGATTGCCAGAACTCCTCCAGCCCTCCCAGAGGGGCCCCCGCCCGCTGTTCTGTCTCGTGGGCACGCAATTAGCTGGACTGTGGGGAGGGCTGTGCCCATCCACCCAAATTCCAAGGGGAGGGAGCACATTTGTAATTGGAAGAAACACAATAGACTATCAAAAGTACGTGACTTTAGCTACAAAACTTGGTACGTAAGTCGTGGTTCTATTTTCCTTCTACACCAGTATAAAAATAGCAGATTTTTCATCAAGATAGAAAGCAAGACTACTACAAAAGTAGTTCCCTCATTCTTATCCCTTTATAGGCAGAGTCAAATAGTGGGAAGGAAACTCCCTCTGGTCAGGTTGAGCTCAGGGTCCCTGAAGCCCCTATTACGGGAAGCTGGGGCAAAAGAAGGCAGGTAACCACTGATGGGCTGTGTCCACAGTGCGTGGCCAGAGAACGGAATGACAGCGCACCAGGAACCGAGGAGGCCAGCCCAGCCCTGTGGATCTAGGACCACTGGATCCCTGAGGGTCAGCAACACACTTAAAGTTGTGGGCAACACATTATATGAGTGGTCCATAGCATTGATGAGATTGGCAGAGGGGTGAGCACACACAAAGTACTTGGATCTTGTGCACCACCCTCCCCTTTTCTGGTGTAGAGTGGGGGCTCCTGTTGGTGCTTGTCAGCACAGCTGTGAGAAGAGGCCCCTGCATCTCACTTGCCCTCACCTTCTTTTGGCCTCCAGTGCCAGTGAGCAGCCTCGTGCCCTGTTACTTGAATGCAGGAGCACGTTGTGCTGAACTGATGAGCCTGTGGAGTCTGCCGGGCCCTGACTTCCAGCCTCTCCTGGGGAGACGACCCCAGCCCCACCCATTCGCAATCCCCAGCACACGTAAAGGGACTGGACTTGCAAGAGCAGCTCCTCCCTGCCAGTGTGACCTCATTTAGGGTGCATCGGGATGCCACATGAGTGGCCCAGGCCTCATTCTCACTGTGGACAGGATGGGCAGGGTGGCCTGCAGGCAGTGTTCCTGCCTAAGGAACTGCCTAGTGGCTTTGATGATGCTGAGGATTAATTGGTCTCTACTCAGGCCTCCTTGAGGGAATCACATGCCGGGTTTAAGTAGGACTTTCTGGAGTCTTCAGAGGAGAGTCACTGGTTGATTGGGAGATGGGGACACCTGGAAATGGTCCCAGGGTGAAGTAAACAAGCCGGAATTAGCCTGAAGAGGGGGAGGTGGCAGGGTGCTGAAGAGATGAGGGTTTCCTAGCGTATGAGTGGCTGCCACTGGCCAAATGTGTCTTCTGCCATGAAAGCTTTGAGTTTGACAGTAAGATTTGGAAGCCAGGAATTCCTGAGGGAGATGTTTGCTTCTACGCGCGGTCAATGAGGTGACTTGTAGTCACCATTTGGGGGCCACCTTTACCCAGGTGAGAGCAGCACTGCACTAGAACTGTGTGTGTGCAGGCCTGGTGGCCCGGGGCATGGACAGGGTGACCTCTTAAGGCTTCTGTCGGTCTACAAGTGAGCTTTCCTGCTGGGCTCAGGGGTCAGGTGGCAGCTGTGGGTGTGGTCCCTGGTAACAGATATGAGGGTTGCCACATAGTATGAGGTCAGTGTGTGGCAGCTGCAGGAGCTGAGAAAGGCAGAAGGGCAAGCCCAGGCCTTTTCATGGGGAGAATAGGAGGAATGAGTTCAAAGCATGAAGCGAGGCACATGCTACACATCTTCAGCTGAACTGAGGATCCAGGGACAGGAGAAGTAGGGAGCCAGGACCCACCAGGATTGGAGCTGACTGTGGAAGAGGCTAGTTTCACTGAAGGCCTCCTGGGGATAACAGACAAAGTAGAGGAACGAGCCAGCCTTGGGAGCTGGGAGGCCTGAGCTTTCACCCAGCCCGTCCACTCCATAGTTCTGTGGCTTTGGGCATGCTGCTTCTCCTTCCAGAGCCTCTTTGTTTCTTAGCTACAAAGTGAGGGGAACTACTGTGTCGTTGAGGGGAATGTAAAGCCTATAGCACCGTGTCTGTTATTCAGGAAGCACTCAATAAAGGACAAGACACCCCTCTTCCATCATGGTCTTCTCAGACCTCAAACATACCACTTCCCAGTGCACTGGGTCAGCGCCTGCATCCGTTCTCCTTGGTGCAAAAGCAGATTGGCTGGGCCATCACACACCCACAGGGGAGCAGTGAGGCCAGGAAGGTAGAGGGAAAGGTGGTCTGGTGCTAACTCGAGTTGAGTAGATGCGGGAAAGGAGATCTGACTCACAGCATCTGAGTTGGTGAAATAAGACGATGCTGTATCAGGGACCTGAGTCTGGCCTTATGCTGGGATTTTTTTTTTTCCTGATGCTGGAAATGTTTATTAGATTTAGATCTATCCAGCTGTACTCTGTTGGCTAATCCTGATTTTCTTGTCAGCACCCACAATGCCACCATCTAACATGTCTCTTCTCCCTCAGGCCTGGGTGGGGTGGGACCCCCTCCGGAGAGGTGTGTGAGCCTCCCTGGAGCTTACCCAGCCAGGTGCCTGTTCCTTGATGAGAACCCACATGGCATTGACCTCAGGCTTCTTCATGGTTCACTCTGTGGCTGATGGCATTGGATTTGCATCAAGGTGGTCTCGAGGATGGTCTTCTGAAGGTACTTAGGGTGTCTTGGGTCCTGGAAGATGGGTGACACACGGATCTATTTTTTTTCCTATGGTCATAGACCCTTTCAGCACAACCTTTGCGGCCTTCAAAGCTTTTGCCTTGGTTTCAGTTTTGGGAAGGGCCGGGGCTTCCTTTTTGCTTTCAGCACCATATTCAGTGTCTGAGTGTATCTGACGGCCTGGTGTAGCAGTGCCATCAGGAGCTGGTCTTCAGTGGAGAAAATGTACTGCAAAGGCTGAAGAGACTTCCATGGAAACAGGAGCGGAAGGGAGAGGGCTTCACGATACTGTTTCAGACCCTGTTCCCCTGGCCCAGCCCGCACCTGAAGTGATGGAAAGGAGTCTGCAGCGGAAACAGAAGTTGCTGTTTTCCAGGAAGCTCCAAGAGGAAGAGGCAAAAGCATCCTCAAAGGCACCACTTCACAGCAGTGGTCAGCAAGGCCCCATGCTCCACTGGCTTCTGTTGGTTGACAGTGGAGGGAGGTGTGGGACAGCACGAGAAGGCACTGCACAAGCTCCTGTGAGACTTCGCAGGGTCCTCCAAAATACACCGGCCAAAGACTTTGTGAAAGAAAGGGTCTGGGGAGGTTGCAAGTGCAGGCGGAGCCCCAGCCAGTGAATCCCAGATGACTGCAGGGAATGTGGCCCCACTGGTACCACCAGCTTGTGAGTGCTGGGGATCTCCAAGGGTCAGGTCACATTAGGGTCCTCTCTCTGTTTCACATCTAAAGACCAAATGAGGCCCAATGGCCACTCCAGGGGAGAAGCCAATTCATGACTTTCTTTGTAGCCTATACTAAAGAAGTTCATTAACTGGTCACTTCTTCTATTTTTAGGCTGTGCTTTGATCCTTGCCATTAATTGTCATGAACGAGTTATAAAGGTGGTTGAACTTGACAATTCTGATGGTTTATCCCAGAGAACCAAGCCACAGACAACACTTGGATTTGTAGACTCTTCTGAGTTAGACCAACAGGTCTCTTTGCCCTGACCCAGGGTCCTTCTTATGGCTCTTTGCCAGGAAGTGTCAGCAGTAGAATCCTTGCCCTATCTCCTTGCCTGCTCCAAATTGCACCAGTGGTGTGCCCCATCCAGGGTGATTTTCTGGCTAGACATCCCCCTGCCAACCTCTTACCAAAACCTGAGATCTAACATATGATTCAAGAAACAGACAAAGAGGCCTGGAGTCTGGTCAAGGCTCAGTCATCCTTCCTGATGCCCAGTCCCCACCTAGACTCTTGCCCTCATTCCTGGAATCCACCTGGAATCCTTGACAGGTGATCTGCTCCAGTGTGCATCAGGTTTCTCTGATAGGGAATGACAGACTGCTGGCGGCTTCAAGAACAGCCACTCACATCAGGCATCAACAAAAGCACACACTGAACATTTAAGCTTTGGGGACCAAATTACAAATAAAAGAATAATTAGCACATTTCTAATTGCTCTTTCCTGCTGTGAACAACAGGCAGAGACATAAAGTGCCTATACCGTACACATAAGCCTCACTCTGAAGCAGGAGAGGGGAGGCTTCTCCCTCCAGGAGCCAGCAGAGCACCCCATGTTTATAAATCAAGTCAGGACAAAAGGAAAGAGCTGTGACCAAATCTAACCGACTTAACATTTCCAGCATGTCTCTCTTTGTGGTTATTGTCTTATCAAAGATTTATATCTGTCTCATAAGTATCTTTAAATCCTTGGTCTCTTGTGAGGCCTAAACCCAGGAATTGACATTCTTTAATGTAAATAGAAAATATTACAGAATGAGTTGAGGTCGGTTTTTAAAAAATATTGCTTTCTTGACTTTTAACCCTGCAGTCTTGCTGACTATTTAATTCTACTTGCAGTTGCTCAGGAATAAGCCTGTGATTTCTTCACTGTGACACTGAGATTTAAACACAAACCATTCGCCACTCCAGATAGCGGCTCAGGTCAGGTCTGCTGATGACAGGTCGCAAAGCAGACCCCAGAGTTACTAGGAGGGTGAAAGATGGGTCAGTGACAGTCACATGGATATGGGGAGTCCCCAGGGGATCCGCAAATGAAACCTATTCACAACTCTAGTTTCTGGATCTTTCCCAGGGAAAGAGTTAGTAATGGGTATTAGGTCCCCGGGCCAGTCCCTGGGAACATGTTAAACCCACAGCGTCTTCAGGCTAGTTCTGCTGTGGCTCTATATATGGAAGAGTGACACTGTGCCTGCCATTTTAGAAGCAGGCTGAGGGTCTGGTTGAGGTCACAGAGCTCTACTCATGAGGACAGCTCTAGGGGTTTTACCCGGAGAACAAGGCCCATCCCACACCCTGGCTTTTACACCTGTGGTGTGGCGCCGGACTCCAGCGGGTGGAGACTGAGCGTTGGGTTAGTGTGTGGCAGAGGTGTGGGGTTGGAGGGAGGAGGAGGATGAGGGGACAGGGGACTGTGGAGATGGGATGGAGACAGGGGAAGTGAGGACCATTTACCTTCCTGTTCTCTTTAGTTCTTCCTCCTTATCCCACACTCCCTTGTCCCTTCTCCCTCCCTTTCTCTCTGGCCTCCTCCCCTTCCTGCAGTTGCTGACCCTGCCTTCTGGGAGGCTGGGAGATGGAAACACATTAGGGAGGGAAGGGTCTGGAAGGAGTGAGGAGGACCCCCAGAATGGCAGTGGCCCTCCACCGCCAGCTCACAGGGAATCATCCAGAATGTGCAGACTGTGAGGCCCAGGCCTGGAGTGGCAGCTGCTAGAAACTCTTAGCAAACCTTTTAGGCTGATGAGACAGATAAAGAGAGTGTGTGTATATATGTGTGTGTGTGTGTGTGTGTGTATGTGTGTATATGTGTGTGTGTATGTGTGTATATGTGTGTGTGTGTATATATGTGTATATGTGTGTGTGTATGTGTGTATATGTGTGTGTGTGTGTGTATAGGCATAATCAGTTCCATCATAGACAAACTCACCCAAGGTTACCTTAAATTTGGAGCTCTCCCAGCACATTAAAAACATCACTCACACAGTAGATGTTCAATTTGCACACCTATTTGCAGAGAGACTGCACAAAGTGAGAAACACCAACAGACAAGAGAACTGAAGAAATAACATCTGCTTCTTCGCTTTTCTGGGAATTCCCTCCCCATCACCCCTTTTCTCTTCAGGTTACATTTTTCTAAATAGTAAGAGATTCAGATTTCTATGCCTCACTGGAGTATTGCCTGTAGACTCAGAGCTCCCCGAGGGCAGG